TTTAAAGGGTAAACTCTGCGTCTGAAAAACATCGAAATAGTTTTTTCGCTATATTTTTGGCATACGCCAAGCATAAAAAGTCATTTTTATCGACAAAGCGCATTAAAATATTGCAGAAACGAATCTTTCACGTTTCTCAGACGCAAAACATGCGATTTCAATTGTCTTCAAGCGCGTTTTATGGTTTAAGTAGCTAATTTTGATGCTTTCTGAGTGGGTGTGACAACGTTCAGATGAAAACTGCGATTAGAGCGACTAAATGCATTTTCGAGAATTCTTGTTTACTTGAGGATGTAGGTGTGGTTGTATGTGCATGGATTACGGTATCAGTCAGGGCGCACAAAACAACCGCTCTCACCCCGATATGCTTAAAAAACGGAAATTAAGCATTGTGCTTTGAGAATCGAAAGATTAAGTAGAATATTGAGAAGAAATTCAACGGTATCTTTACAATCTTTCTATTAAATTATTTAGTTGTCGTCGAACGAAGGCATTATGCACGTAGAAAGAAAAATATGAGACTTAAATCGGTCTATTCATTGAATACCTTCATAGGTACATCTTCTCTGAAATCCATTCGATCATACCATTATTATAAAGTCATCCTTCTTCTGTGTGTGAATCTCTTTTCTTTCCCTGATGATAAGTGAATAATTCTGTCGAAACTTTCTAATAATTTCTTCTTTATATTTTGCTGCCTCTTTCGATTGTCAAACAACTTCATGTACCAGTTGAATATGTCTTGCAAAGTATCGCCTTTGATGCTTTACCAATTGTAATTAAATACCTTGTATTACACAGACTTCAGATGTTCAAGTCTTCAAAACCACATTGATAAAACGGCAATGCATGGAACAAGGAATTTTATCTTATTATCAAACGAAATTTTTTTAGAGAATTATACAGGAAAAAAGATTAGTTGAATCATCATCACAACAACAAGTAAAAAAAGAGAGTTGATGCAGTATTAAAGCGATCGATAGGTGAGAAAAGCGATGACATCCATCGAAATAAAGAGAAGGAGTGGCTGGTTTCTGACTATGGAAACACCATTGCAAAGATCCGACGTACAACAACACACCGTAGCTGTCATACCTCCTGCAGTTGTCGATCTACATCCATTCGTGCCACCGATGCACAATTCTGTGGTTGATAGACCACGAGAAATTACTTTACCAGCCTGCGTTTTCTGAAAGATAAAGTAGATGAAATAGGTCAGTAATGGCATAAGTATCAAATTTATATATTCAGAAAGACATACCATGCAGACTTGACCTCCAGTTGCTTCCACTTTTTGGGCATCAGTCATGGAATTCGCGCTAAAAGGGTCACCACAATTCGAACTACCAGTAGAAATGCATTCATATATGACTTTTCAATTATTACGTTTCATTAGCTACTTTGTTTATATAAATGCTAAGATGATACTGAACACCTTTTTTTTTGAACTGTTCTAAACACCTGTAAGTGCTAGCCGCACTGATAAATCCTAGTTAAATTTTAAGAAAATGAATCATATGAAACACTTTTTCTAAATAGCTTATTGATTATTATTTACCAAAGATGAGCAGAATTGAGAAGGATTTCATTCTTCAGTCTTTGATATAGACAATACTTTCGTTTTATTTGAATGAGAAATCTTATATCAAATGCAGAATACGTAAGCAGTGTTGTCTTTATATATGTCACGATTAGAAACTCTCTGTTGACGTATTTTGTAGTTTTGGTATCTAATTATGAAATTTGCTTAGAATATTGATTGATCGAATAATATCATTTTTGCTTATGTTAAACGTGAAAGTTGAAATTTGAAACTCCAAAATTGATATTCGTTAATTGAAACTTGAAACTTGAAATTAGTAACCTAAAACTTGAAATTTGTAATTTGAAACTTGAAACATGAAACTGGGCACGTGCATAGTAATTAGTTTTTCAACTGAATTCAAGTTTAGCACTACTGTTTTTCTCGACAGTATTTGAAATGCTTTAATAACTAGTGTTGTCGTCTATGGATGAACAACGCTATAACTCGATGACAGAGAGAAGAGTTTCACTGAAAAATATGCATATTTTCATCGCCCGACAAATAGAGTTAAAAATGGGTCAAGGGTCAGGTGTGGTGTCACAAACCCATCTTTTTCGATTCGATAGAGAACTTTTTTCTCATATAGTCTCCAATATTGTGATTATTTGTGTATGTAGCAGACAGAAAATCAATCTTTTGACTAAACTACTCGAAAGTAACGGATAGTTGGATGGGGACGGATGAACAGAAGACTCTCATTCATCCTAAAATTTTCTTTTACGAAAATAAAAGACTTTAACTGTTGAACAATTATGAATAGTAATCATGAACAATGTTCGGACACTGTGATTCTCAACAATCATTTGCGTTCATCAACAATTTCGGTACTTCGATGTGCATCAACAGCTATCAAGGTTGGATGAGTGATTGAAAAGGTCATCTCTTCACTCAAACCTGTCCAATCTAAATTGATTTTCTATTGTAAGAAGTCTCGTTTCATGTTTTCTTGATTTTCCAAAGGAGGATTTCCAAATCGGTTGCCATCTATCCGTAGTTTACCCTATTTTTCAATAGTACATGGAACATATGAATGACACCAAAGAAAACATTGTTGTACCCGACGTATAATTGCTAAAGCAAACATTTTATTTGGATTCTTGAGCTCATTTATTCATCCGTTACCAATTAAGTTTGACAAGGATATATTGACATTGTATCAAGGTATCAAATATTTTGTTTGTGGGTGAAATAAATGCATTGATTACAGACGAATCATGTTACAGATAGATGGTCATGACATTTGTTCGAACAGCAAAGATAATATACTGATTTCCAACAGAAACTAAATAAAACATGACAAGTAGTTTCATGTTTCAATGAGACTCAATATCATGCGTAGAAATTTATTCGAGAAACAGTATCCAACTTTGTGAAGAAAAACTCATAGTATATATGTAAGAGATTTGAGGCTGCGAAATCTTTTTTATCCGTATTTTTCAATAAATCATGTGCCTAAAGCAACGGAGTTTAGGTCTTCTATTCATTTGTCTTCTCGAATTGCTTGCACATTATTTTGGATCACTTGAAAATTAAAATGATGCGCCGATAGAGATGAATAATTAGAAGCATTTGACGCAAGGGCTAAATAGCGGAATCCTAGGGTGTCCTGAGAAATTCTTTGGAATTCTGCGGACGTCTTGAGAATCCTACGGAATCCGATAGAACTTTTGAAGTTCTAAGACCCTATTTCTCAAAAAAAGTCAATTTTCGTCGAAAATAAGAAAATTCAGATGACTGCATGAGAAAATAGTCCGCTTTTCGGTCTTTCATAAATGATATGACTTTTGATTTGACGCCTTGTTTTTTCCAGCAAAATCGGAAAACGTTTCTCGCTTTTTCTCAGCTCATAGTTTGTTAATCTTGCATCTCAAAACTCTCAAAGAAGCGTTCACAGGAATGATCATCCTCACGGTTATTGACTTAGAAACTTTAGCGTTCATCGACTGAGAAATTATCAGAAGTTATCGTAGCAAGTAAAATTGAATAAAAGAACCTATTCAAACATGTATGAATACTGTTACACTAATTAGGTGTAGTCATCAATAAAGAAACTCATCGATGTTACTTTGTACGTAAAGATCTGTTGGACTAAATTGGTATGAATTTATTGATAGATTAACGAGGAAATATGTTTCGTTGCTGTACTTAGAGCGGAGATAAGGCAACGCTAAGAACCATAAATTAACCAAATACAATTAGCTAGCTATGAATATGTATATATATATCGATGGTCACGAAGGAAAAAAACGAAAACGACATATCAACATGGCAAGATGTTGTGACACAAATGACTATTCTTTATAGCCTCTTAGGAGCTTACTGGGAATCCATAGGAATTCTGGCTTGCAGGATTCTACTATTCACCCCTTGGTTGATCTTCGTTTCGAATACGAAATGATTGATCCAATCCCGAGGTTTACTTCAGATATCGCTGGACAACTAAAGAAATAAGACGGTATTCATTTCTGTTTACCGAAAATTGATCTCATTTGAATGGGTGAATGATTATCAATCGTCTTTTATCTCACATTCACACAGGCAAATAGGTGACTAATATCAACAATGTCGATTGAGCAAACATGTCCGAATAAACCAATACAGATCGATGATGAAGCGTAAACGTAACGGAGATGCTAGAGATGATTATTGCAAAAAATCACCATCGAGTAGTTTCTCAGCAAGAAACACTCTAAAAGGATCATTTCTTCGGAATAGTCATTCGATATCTCATAGACAACCGTCGAATAGATTTGAACGATATTATCAGATTTCGGCTTTGCTTATTTTATGCATCGATCAAATTGTCTTTCAACCTCGAGAAACAGAACAGCTAGAATGAATCGTTATGAAGATATCCATCTGATAGTATGATAGCAAGCAGAAAGCTAACATGTCTTGTAGTTGAGTTTAAACTACTGCCTGTCAAATACCAAAGTAATTGAATACTTTTTGCATGTTGTCTGTAGGCGCCATTCTGGTCTTCTTTTGTCTCGGAATGAGTCCCCACATCTTTAGAACATACTTTAATTAAGTTCGATTATATTATAGTACAGCTTGAAAAGTTTGAATGTGGTTATGGGTGTGAGTGAATAGAAGATCTACACTCACACTCCACTACTCACATGCCCACATCGCATCCCCACAACTGTAGCCACAGTCACACATAAACAATCCAGATTCTCAAACTGACGCCCTCACATCCTCAAATGTGACTTTATCTTCGTCATCGGGATTATTCACAGGACTCATTGACTATTCCATACTGAATTTTAATTGATACTTTATTTTTGAAAATCATCCTTCAGAATGCACGTTAAATAATTAATTCAACGTTTTTGTTATCATTATTCATTAGCTAACTAAAAAGTGGCAGAAAAGTCATTATTTTGCTGATTGTTCTGAATATTATTCGTGCTCAGCCAGTATTTGGAGGTTGTGAAACTTTGCCATCCTTGTCGAAGAAAACACGTACACGATCATAGCGTAAATCTAAGGTCACAGGCGAGTTTTCTTCAAGTTTCTGGACGTGTAGATCTGAAACGATATGAAAAAAATACAACAACGATAATTACAATGAACTAATGAAGAAAATAGTTTAGACAAATTCGATTTTCTACTTTTGATATAAAGAAAATAAAGTTCATTAGAACACTGAAATATTGACTTACTCGGATTGTCTCGTTTAATTTCTTCAACAGCCTCATCTACTGGTTTACCAACCAAATTAGGCCATGATTTGTTTTCCAATGTCGGAATTTGCGAGTGATCCCTATAATGTCATGTAAACGATTTTTGAAATGTTCTGTTCACTTTTTATGTGATTTACAATATTCAATGCATGAATCGGCTCGGTAAAGAAATTTTCACTATTTTCTTTTGTTTCTTTATAATGAAATTGCTATTTGAAAAATAATCGTGTTTGAATGTAGACATTTGATCACATGATGCAAATCAGTCAATTTGAAAAATAGATGAAAAACTCATTTTCGATGATATCATGCTACTATACATTCTACTGTCCATTAGAATTTTCCAATGTCCACAAAAGACTGACGTGATAGACACAACACGTATGCAATCTTAGAAGAGAATCAAAGTAGACAAAGTGCTTATCAAGAATTTATGATTTAGTCTATCAATACAATGATTTTGATATGTCACGTAGGAGAAAAGCAAGCCGATGACAATAGTTTTCATTGAAGCATTGCTGAGAATTTGGATAGAGATAGTTTGTAAAACTCTGATCAATATCGAACATAAAATTGATTCTTTGAAATTCAAAATAGAAAAGATGATTACTTGGTTGTATTGCTGTGACTATTATCTTCTAACATCGTGATGCAACATTTGTGATGAAAACTCATCTAGTACGGATTTCAGCTTACACTTTTCATAGATTTATTAAACATACGACAGGCTAGCTTACTATGGTTACTAAGAAGAACCGTATTTAATTTGTTTTTTCGATTTGAACTTTCAGCCACAAATATTTAAAAAAATCCATCGAATTTGGCAAAACGGAATGAGAATTCAACTAACATCATGAATAAATCTCGAAACATAATTGTAGATATTTGAAAATTTTATTAAACGCTAAATTCAATATTGTTTCTAATAGAGACAAGCGAAACTATCGGATTTCATTTTCTGCAATTAATATCAATTGAATATAAAGTGCAGAAAAATTCCATCGATTCTCATTAGTATAATCGATCTACGGCTACTACAGATGTTGGAAACTTTATTTTGTAATAATAAACCTTGGATATATGGTTATAAATGTCCCGTGAAGCTACTTACATATGGAGACGTAGTTTGTATTTATTGAAGGTCGATGAAAGAAAAAAGTGTTTAAGTATGCAATGATGCCTTACTTTTATACTTTCGACTATGGCATCAAACACACTATGAAAATCAAAATTGAATTAAAAAGTATGATTGGTGTTTCTACGTAGCAGCATTAATAGCATCTCTTAATTCATCGTTATTGATGCAGAATGTTCGAGGCTTATAACTTGTAATTGAATAAAGTCGAAACGAACAAACGAGAAAAAGAATCAAAACTTTCTTCTTACCTTTCTTGTTCTTATTGATCAGGACAGAGAGAAAAAAAGGCACACCATGTTACCATCATCGTCAATGCCCGCGATCAATAATATTTATTTATTAATGTAAATAGTCTTCTGTTTTTACGTACTCGTTTCGAAACTGAATCACGAGATATGTACGAGAGATGGTGCAGAAAAAATTAACTTGATTTAAATTAGGTCTATCAGTAATATAATACCTCGAATTCAACCTGTTCAGTGAATATATTTCTCCAATTCTTTCTACAAAAGGAATATCACTGTACAATGGATTGTCTCTAGCCACTTCGGAACAACTGGAAATGACATTCAGTAAAACTTGAAAAAACAATTCAAAGAACTTTCTTTTGAATTCAACACGGTACCCTCAGTGACTGATGATTTATATTCGTACATGTGTGGGATACTCATGCCTTTTCTCTCCACCAAAGACCTACGAAACCTTGGTATTTCTTTTGTTTTGAAAATGCATCTCATGCATAGCAACATAGACAAATAGCATTCGATAGTTGTGCACTTTGATTAGCATAATGTCCCCGAGAGCGAGTACACGAACGATAGAGAATCGACTGAGAAGAAACACATTAAGTTCATTTGTAATCTTCTGAAGGTAACAATCAAACAATAGCAAACTGAAATTGACGTGAAGATTCTTTTCAGTAAAATATTATGCACAAGTTTGAAGGAACAATATAAACATCCATCCTTTTTTTTTTGTTAATGTGAGAGACATGTTAACATACTTCTCGATATAAATAACAAGAAATGAAAGAATCTAGTTTTCAGTTCGCTGAAAAAAAGAAAAGAAAAATATGTAATATACATCAAGAACGTTTATTTCGAAATTATTATGTGCAATAATAGCGTTCAGTTCTCTTGATCGAATCACAATGATAAAATTGAACGTACAATCTATGCAAAACTTTTTTTATCTGTCTTTAGAGTCAGATTTGTGCATAAACACTCTGGCAACACAGATTTGAATTGATCAAAAAATTGATCGAAACAATATTCTCGTAAATATATTCAATGATCTTTACCAGATAGCAGTAAGCATAGGTGTTGACTCAGCTGACACACGGATCCACATTGAAAATCTTACTCGATCAAAAGAAATGCGCCAAAAGTCTGTATGTTTCCAACTTCTGATTGACATTACACTGGACATAATTCATTTGCATCATTTCGAAATAATGGACACTGTTGTGAAAGTTACTTGATTATCTCGATATGCGACATTGAACAGATCTCTTCGTCATTAGGAAAAAATGATTTATCAAATTTGGATAAAAACGATACAAGATTGGAGATCAATTACATTGTTGCGCCTTTATTAATTTCATCGAGCGACGTCATATTGATAAGAATCGGAAATCTAAAAAAATTGAGGTTTTTTTCTCGACTGAATTCAATGTTTGATCTTCGATATAAATAAAAATTATCATCACATATGGATCTCTGAAGATATAATATAAAATTTCGTCAATAAATGTTTTCTAGCTACAAATTATCGATACATTTTGGAACTGTTTCTTTCATTCCTTACAACTATGAGCTACAAGAATAGAATAGTGACGATTGTCAAAAAAAACAGTACAATCATGTGCTCGAATTTTATAACAACTTATTGAATCAAAGTGGAGACGAAACTGAACAAAAAAAATGGAATAAAATTGCATCCGAAGAAGAGCTGATAAAACTAACAAAAGTAAAGGAAATCGCATTTTTTTCGACATATTCAATCAATTGATATCGAATATCTTATCAGTGACAGTATCCATTGCAATTTAAAAGCTGGAATTTACGGAGAAAAATAGTGAGAACTCAAGTAGCATGAAAAAGAAAAAGAAGATGTTCTCCAGGATATGAAAAATATCCAACAGTCGATAGCTGCATCTATCGCTTTCAGATTTAAAAAAGGAGAAAATACCTTTCGAAATGCCATGCAATTCAAAAATTTAGGTCGAACAGCAACAAGAAAACAAATATTTTCGTTACTTTTTTTTTTGATATCTTCGCTCGACTGATACAAATAGCAAAAATGATGCAAATTGTTACTTTGATAGTGTTAGAATAGTTAGTCAATCGCAAATTCAATACGAATTTAATCTTTTCTTGTCGAATCTATAAATTGATGATTGTGAGAATAGCAAGTAGTAAAGAAAAAATTGATTGTTTTTCAATGTCTTTGATATGATTATCATCATTACTGATTATTCTAAAAATTATTTGAAAAAAAGCTAATTTATTTATGAACAGATTCTTACATACCGCATCAAATGTTTGACAGTAACATAGTTCTCGAAGAAAATTTTCCTGATTCTTAATGTGTTAGATTTGATATTGATTTTCTTTTGTGCAAGCAGGAAAAATAATACTATCATCTATTTGTACCATAGAAATTTGTCACCTGTACTATTTCAGTCACCATAGAACTGATGAGAAATATTGCTCGTTTCCAACTTATTCTCATGTAAATTATTTTATAATTATCGTGCATTTCTTGAATTTGAACCGTGAAAATACATAAATAATCACGAAATTTTTCGTCAGTGATCAAATTATTACTGATTAATATGTCGCTCGGAACTGCTTTGTATGTATTGAAAACGAAGTAGAGATAAAGTATGTTGCAACATAGCGTGGGATAAAGGTTAGAAAGTTTGTCCCACGAGGAAACCACCGGAGTTGACACCCTCCGTTTTGACTCATTTCTATTTCATTCGATAGAGTATATTGAGATAGTCAAAGGATTAAGAGGATTTTTCCCCATGGCTCTTCCTTCAAAAGTCATGATCGTTTTATTGAATTTTCGACCCATTGCCGGATATTTACGAAAAAAATCAAAATACGGAATTTCGACTTGATATTTTGTCCATAGATAGGCCTAATGGTCCTTAGAATATCCTAAAACTTTCAGCTAAAAATAATGTTCCTTTCTTGAGATACTGAATTTTCAAGTGAACTCGGTTTTTGTGACCAATCTGTGGCAGGCGACTACTTTTTGAAAATTCAGTATCTCAAGAAAGGAACATTATTTTTAGCTGAAAGTTTCAGGATATGCTAAGGACCATTAGGCCTATCTATGGACAAAATATCAAGTCGAAATTCCGTATTTTTATTTTTTTTCGTAAATATCCGGGAATGGGTCGAAAATTCAATAAAACGACCATAACTTTTGAAGGAAGACCCAAGGGAAAAAATCCTCTCAATCCTTTGGCTATCTCAATATACTCTATCGAATGGAATATAACTGAGTCAAAACAGAAGGTGTCACCTCCGATGGTTCCCTCGTCAGTCATGGTATAGAGTTAGAGTACAAAAGAAGGTGCTTAACGTGTACTTCTGGAAAACGAAGAACGCAACGTAGAGCATTCTAGTGGCATAATATTATTGTTTTTTAGTTACTTTTGTGTTCATCGGTATGTGTTGGGGATGACTGTATAAGAAAGTACGTTGAGTACCATCAATAGCATCAGACAATGCTTACAAGTAATAATGTTAATCAGAGCTTTTATTTCATTTTGAATAAAACAAGGTTGTATTTCAGTTTTTCTAATGTACACTTTTTTATCTTTATTCTTATCATTTATTGTTTTTCAGTGTTGATATTTATTCTAACACTAATCTCAAATGTATTATAACTTTCACAACGAGTCATGAACTTATGGCACTCAATGCATTTAAATGGATCTTTTTTTCAAATAATCGTTCATATTTAATTGAATAAAAACTTATGACAAAGAAAATATTTGTACATTTGTTAATACACATCTATTTTACATAAAGTCATTAAAAACATAGTTGTGAAGATTTCAAAAGAATACTTCTCATTATTTGAAAAAGTTATTTATAATAATGTTTATGAAAATATATCCATTCATATTACTAATGAAATGTTTTTTTTTATAAAAGCTATCATTAAGAATATCTTTATCAAACACTCACACATGGGTGCATTTTAGAAACGACATTTAATTGAATTATAATTATAGGTCATCCATTAAGAAAGTGTAGATAAAAACCGCATCTTTTGACTCCTCCTTCCTGGACGTTCATTATAAAAAAAAAGCTTTCAAAAACAGTGTATATATGGATGTCGATGGGGTAGGGTGTGCCGTACCTTAATCCTCACCTATACCCATACCAACACTCTACACCCTATACTAACACTCAAAGACAACACACATGCTTGATAAACAACAACAAAAATCTAAGATTTTACAAGGTTTTTGTTTTTTTAAATACATTGTATCTTGATGAGCAGAAAACATTAAAAATTAAAAAAAAATTATATTCAGTACTAAATGGCACTTGAAAATTTAACAATGTTCATATTATCGCTCCAGAAAATCACTAGCTTGTCCATGTATCATAATCTTCAATTATTTAGAGGCAATATTCATATTCAACTTATTAATATAGTTCATTTCCTATATGAAATGGCTCTTCAAAACGAGCTAGGCTGCAAAATTCCTTGGAAATCTGTGTGAAAAAAAAAAGTAAAATATTCATAGTAAGTGTTTGGACGTTCAGAAATGTTGGATCACCGTCTCCATTTCCTTCTGTCCTGTTTTGACGGATCTTTCTTTATCTGAACGTTCTTAATGGATGGTCCCTTGCCATATTCTATTCTTGTTGAATACTTATTGCTTCTGAACGGACAGAAAATTATGAATCTATAAATATTCGCTTCAAAAAGCTAACAACGCCACACATATTGATATAGAAACAACGAAATTCTTTTTCATTCGAATTTCAATAGTCACACTCATTTAAGAATTCACATCTAAAACCATATATATCGTTTTTGTTTTGTACAGTAATGAAAATGAATTTTATAATATTTGTAAAGTGATTATCATATGGAAATCTAGTTTCGTTGACTTTTTTGTTGTTATGCTTCATCACGACGAATTTTAATACATCAAATTGATGTGCTCTGTTTTTGTTCATTATAAGTCTAAATGCTAATGTAATAAACGTCTCATATTGAATAAATTTTAAGTTGAACACGTATGAACAATTATCAAATATATTTTTTAGAAAGTAGAGCATTTTTTTTTATAAATAAAAACTTGAATCGATGCTTTTGGTTTAATGCAGGTAAACGGAAATTCCTGTAAAGATAACGATTAAGATGTTTTAGAATATTTTTGCAATGATTTTTGTTATAGGATTTGGAAATTGCTAATTACTATATGAATGGTTCTAATACAATCAATATGAGAGATAAATAGATATTAAAAACGCTTTATTATTGATATATTGATCTCTGTAAAATGACCCATAATGGACATCAATGTGAACATTTCGTGCAAAAATGAAAGCGTTATTTTTCGTGACTCAAATAATGTCCAATATACTTTGGAGAATGATACATTATTTGGTATTTTTTTTTTCTTCTAGCTCGTTAAGACATTGGAAACATCTTAGATCCAAAAAATAGCCAGATTTCTGTCATCTTAGAGAAAAGTATCTTTTTGCAAAGAAAGTAGAAAGATCTCAGGAATAAATGATTGAAGATTTTGAAAGTAGAACTCTTCTTCTATCGTTCTATAAACAAAAATTTGTTTTAACAATTTCTCTGTGGGAAAAATTATGCATTTTTTCTCACTTAAAGTTTTTTCAAAAAGACGTGTTCAATATAGTGAGCACACATAGTTTAGCATAGCTTCAAACCTTACAAAACTTTCACTCAATGTTCACATCTATTTAACACGTCTACTCAGTTAGCGTAAAGATGCGTAAATGATTCAGGACTAACGAGGGTAGGTCACCAACTGATCAATCACTTTTGAGTCGAAACTATGTGCATCATGTAGGTCCTAATGAGCTATCAATACCCTGAAAAGAGTTCGGGCCGCTAGCTTATTACTGTCGAGATACTGCATTTTTACGATATTTTTAAGTAAAATGCCTTGGTCCCCCTCAGGAACACCAGCAAACCTGAGTTTTGAATTTCGACCTGAAATTTGGCACAGAAACAGACCTCAATGAGAGTAGCTTATTGTGAAAGTTTCAGATCTTTTGGTTGTTCCTATTCTGAAATAAGAATATTGGAACCCGTCAGGGATAACGAGCAGTGTA